ACACAAGCAAATTAATCTACTGTAACATCCACGATATCCTAGAGAAAAATGCTGAAAACATTTGATGCTGCAAACAAAAGTTAATATTTTGAAAAACATAGTAATTATATCACTGCCCTCATATCCTTAACAGCTATCAAAGATCACTGTTCTTCTTTTGAATTTTATACCTCAAATTTGTTAACAATGATCCCTAACTTTCACATCAGTCATGCTCCAATACATATCACACCAGGCAGTTTAAAACCTTAACATTTCTACATAAAAGGAGAGTAATCTCCCTTATAGTTTATATCATTTAACCTACAATGCTGCTATTCTAATACTTTTGAAATCAGCTTATATAATAATAATACTTTTGAAATAAGGGCCAGGTACTACAATGGTGAAAATGAGAAAACAAGTGCTTTTTTTTAAAAAAAATAAAATTTACTTATTTGAAAGTCAGAGTTACAAAGAGAGAAGAGGAGACAAACAGAAATTCTACATCTGCTGGCTCACTCCCCAAATGGCCACAGCACTGGGGTTGGACCAGTCCGAAGCCAAGAGGCAGTAGCCTCCTCCAGATCTCCCACATGGGTTCAGGGGCCCAAGCACTGGGCCATCCTCTGCTGCTTTCCTAGGCAAATTGGTAGGGAGCTGGATGGGAAGTGGAGCTGCTGGTTCTCTATCTAGGACCCCAGCATCACACGGCTTTACCCACCATACCACAGTGCTGGCCCCGAGAGGTGCTTTTGTGCCCCGAGAGTTGTACAGTTAAGCAAAACTTCAAACTAAATACATTTTATTTCTAGTATCTCTACTGCTGTCCCAACCTTTGTAATACTACTGTTCCAAGTCCCCAACTTTAATATTAATGAATCCAATTTTATTTATTAAGCTTCCACTGTGTGCCAAAGACCTAATGATGGGAAAGGAAAGATTCAAGTCAGAATATTTATCTTTAAATAGTTCACCGTTTATATGAAATACAAAAAGTCTAAGTGTCACTCTACAGACTTCTAATAGGCACTACAGGGACCAAAAACATAGATCTATCTGAATCTAAATCTAGCAAACCAGAGAATATTACGATTATTAAAAAAAGAAAAAAAAAGGAGAAGCAGCAGAAGATGAATAGAACAGCAATTGTCTAGCCTTGCAGTAAAGAAGCCTATGCTTCCTATGGGAATGCCTGGGTTTGATTCCTGGCTCCAGCTCCTGACTCCAGCTTCCAACCAACGCGGACACTGGAAGGCAGCAGATGATGGCTCAAGTGGGTGGGTTCCTGCCACTCAAGTGGGAGATCTATATTGAGTAACCAACTCCTGGTTACACCACCCAACCCAATTGCAGGTGCTGCAGGCATTTGAGGAATGAACCAGTGGATGTGAGGTCTTAAAGTAAAATTTTGGAAAATTTAAAAGAAGAAAAAAAAAAAAAAGAACAGGAGAGAAAGTACTTCAAGTAGCTATAACTACATCAAGGAGACAAATAAGCAAGAATAAGCATGACTGGTTCAAGGACCATGAAGGGTTTAATAGGGCTTATGTAATAATAAAAGGCTCAGGACATAGATTTCTGAGCCAAATTTCTTAGGGCCTTGGTGCAAATCATGGTAGAGACTTAAAAGATCACTCAACTGGTTTAATAGCCTGCAGAGGACATTTTAAACAACAGACTGTTATGATGACATCAGTGTGTTAAAAAGGTGGTTTTGGGCCGGCGCCACGGCTCACTTGGCTAATCCTCTGCCTGTGGTGCTGGCACTCCGGGTTCCAGTCCCGGTTGGGGCACTGGATTCTGTCCTGGTTGCTCCTCTTCCAGTCCAGCTCTCTGCTGTGGCCCGGGAAGGCAGTGAAGGATGGCCCAAGTGCTTGGGCCCTGCACCCACATAGGAGAGCAGGAGGAAGCACCTGGCTCCTGGCTTTGGATTGGCACAGCGCACTGGTTCTGGCAGCCATTTGTGGGGTGAACCAACAGAAAAAGGAAGACTTTCTCTCTGTCTCTCTCTCTCTCTCTCACTGTCTAACTCTGCCTGTCAAAAATAAATAAATAAAATAAATAAATAAAAAGGTGGTTTTGGCTTCAGTGTGGAAGAGAATAAGACCAAACAGTTACAGAGCAATTAAGAAAATATTATAATAATCTGGCAAGAAGGCTCTGAAATAAAGGAGCCACATGAATGAAAGGCTGCATTTGAGAGGTATTTAAAAAGTAAAATTGTCAGAAGCTGGTGACACAAGCAAATATGGAAAAGGAAAGGAAAGGTCTAGACTGATTCTCAAGTCTCTCCCCTGAGAAACTGAGAAGGTAATGGTGCCTCAGACTGGAACTGGAAATACAGAAACAGCAGCTGGGGGATGACAGAGGAAGGCATGATCTAGTCCACTTTAGATGTGATATATTTGATTTTTCTGAGACCTGAAAGACAAGCTTTAGAAACAAAACACTGGAGGACTATAAATGATATCTAAAGCTGTGCACATAGTTGACAATATCCCAAGGATAAGCAAATTAAGAAAACAAAAAGCACCTAAGATCAAACAGGTAATGTCAGCATTTTTAGAAAGGGAATATTCTAAAGAGACTTAAGAGTAGGAAGTGACACACGGAAAAAAAATTATACAAGGAAAAAAGAGTAAGTGTGTGTCTATCTTCAATATTTCAAGGAGGGAATGATTAAAAGTCACAAACAAGCATGAGCTAAGATAAAAACTAAAGTCCATTAGACGGGGAAACTACAAAGTTTTCAATGACGTTGATTAAACAGTTTCAATGGAAATGCAGAAGCAGAAGCCAGATAAAATTTTAAATGAATGGAACTCCATCCAAGTCTGTCCTAACTCTCAAAATACTCCAGAGCCAATACCGACACATTCTATCTTTTATTTGGAGCTACAGGGGACCATATCATACCTAAGAATTAGGAAGCAAACAATCTCAATTAGGTGAGAATAATTGTGTGATAGTTCCTAGCAGACATACTAGTTGTCTGACATTTCCATAGACTTTAAGGGTGTCTTTTGTTGGCAGCACAAACAAATTTCTACGTGGAGGAAATTATGTCAATTTGAGAAAACAAGGAGCAAAACACAAGCAATTTGGAGATGAAGCACTTTGGAACAAATGCCTCAAGAGCAGTCTGACCAGCGGTGTCACAGTCAGCATTTGTATGCCTCAAGTATTTTTCATTGCCTTTGTTTTTCCCTTTATGTCTTATCAAATAATTCCCTATAAGCTCAAAGTTTTTAGATAATAGTTCCTGTGGCAGTGGGACGGTTATTAAATTTTACAATTAAATATTTACTACCAAAGCAAAATTCACATAACCCAGTATACTATCTGCTGGTTTATACCCCAAATGACCATAACTGTCAGGGTTAGGCCAGGCTGAAGCCACAGGCTGTAACTCAATCTGGGTCTCCCACATGGGTGGCAGGGTGCCAATTTCCTGACCCATCACCTGCTGCATCCCAACATGCATATTAGCAGGAAATTAAATCAAGAGTGGAGACAGGATTCCAAACCAGGCATTCCATTACAGGATGCAGGCACCTCCAGCAGTGCCATAACTGCTGCACCAAACACATCCAGATGACTCTTTTAAAAGTATAGCACATAAAATGTAAAGCAGGGGTCAATATGGTGGCAAACAGGTTAGGCTGCCAATGGGGACACCTGCATCCCATACTGGAGTGCCCAGTTCAAGTCCTAGCATCTCTGCTTCTGATCTACTGCATCCTGGGAGGCAGCAGATAACAGTTCAAGTGCTTGGGCCCTGCCACTTATCTGGGAGACCCAAACGGAGTTGCAGTTTCCTGGCTTTAGCCTGGCAGAGCACTAGTTGTGGGCATTTGGGGAATGAACCAGTAGACGGGGATCTCTCTTTTTCTGTTGTTCTGCCTTTCAAGCAGATGGGAGGCGGATTACATTTTAAAAGGGTATAGGAAATAAAACTTACCTATAGTCTTTTTGTCATTGTTTATTTTTAAAGGAGAGAAAATGTTTACTATACTAAGTAGCAGAAAAAAAGAGGAAAAAAGAGTTGGACGCCAAGAGATTGCTAACCTTTTAACAAAGGGTGTGAATTCTTTTTTCTATTTCTTTACATTTGGTTAATCAAAGGCATTCTTTTCCTTATGTGTGTTATTTTTCTTAAATAAAGTCAGAATGTGGTGTACTTCACTTGTAAAAATAAGCAGTCAAGTTTTCCCTTTGCGCTTTTGCTCCTTAGCATTTGTATTATTCAGTTTATACAATCTGCTCTCCAACTCTTGTATTTTGTTATCAAAATACTTTTACACTGAAAAACACAATTTTATAATGTTAAAATCTACTCATGAGAATAATAAGGTTTTTACAAGTCTGCAATAACTTTTATAATCTCTAAACAAATGCTAGGGGGTAATCTTGACACTAAAATAGCAGCAAGAAGGTGGCTGCTTAAAATTTTGTTTGTATTAGTATTAGTATATGGTTTAAAGACATCAAAAAGGGGCTGGCATTGTGGCACAGTGGGTGAAGCTGCCACCTATGACACCGGCATTCCATTTGGGTGCCAGTCTATGTCGTAGCTGCTCCATTTCCGATTTAGCAACCTGCTAACACTCCTGGGAAAGCAACAGAGGATGGTCCATGTCCTTGGACCTCTGCACCCATGTGGGAGACCGAGAAGAAACTCCCGAGCTCATGGTTTCAGCCTGGTTCATACCTGGCCATTGCACAATCTGGGGTGTCAACCAGTGGATAGAAGATCTCTCTTTCACTCTCTTTCTCTCCCTCTCTCTGACTCTCCCTTTCTCTGCGTAACTCTTTCAAATAAATAAATAAATCTTTTTTAAAAAGTATTTAGATAATTACAAATGATATGATATTAGCTTCAAGATAAAATTTGGTTACATGATTGAATGAAAACACAAATACCATAAAATAATAATTATATGCACAAATTTGAAATAAAAAATAACCAAAACAATAGCTTCTTAAAATCATAGACAATAATAGTAACAGAAAAATACCTTGCAGTTCTGTAGCAGTCGTATGAGATGTTCAAAGCAATTACTGTTAAGAAAAATGGCCTGAAGTACAGGCCTATCTGTACAATCTAACATGGCGGTGATGGTATCTAAGAAAATAAACACAAAATCACCTATGTAAAAGTGAAAATTTGAAATCATACACTCATACATATTTTTAATTGAAATTTTTCAATTGACAAAGCAGATGTAAATTAATTAGGAATTAATAGGGATAAACAGTAAAATACCAAATCTATAATTACTATTTGATAGGAAAAGTAAAAAATTTTACACTTATTTAAAATATTCAAAATTTATATATAAGTAACATACATTTCCCAGAGATTTATTTAGCTGTTTTTCTATCATCAGGCTCAAGTCTAATCAACTGTGGTGCCCAACTTATCATTAATAAACAATAACTGCCTATGTCTGGGAACACAGTTTAACTTATATACTATCAAATTAACATAGGCCCCCTGCGGCGCCGGCACACCGGGTTCTAGTCCCGGTTGCCCCTCTTCCAGGCCAGCTCTCTGCTGTGGCCAGGGAGTGCAGTGGAGGATGGCCCAAGTGCTTGGGCCCTGCACCCCATGGGAGACCAGGATAAGTACCTGGCTCCTGCCATCGGATCAGCGCGGTGCGCCGGCTGCAGCAGCCATTGGAGGGTGAACCAACGGCAAAGGAAGACCTTTCTCTCTGTCTCTCTCTCACTGTCCACTCTGCCTCTCAAAAAAAAAAAATTAACATATGGCCATTTTGAAAATGAGACACAGGTAAGTGATCCATTTGTGACAATGTTTTGCTCACATTTCCTACTAAAGGGACATACTCATCTAAAAATAAAGGACATCTGGCACAGGCAATAACACAGCTCTTAAAAGTCTATTCAATACAGACTCAAAATTCCTTATAAACTTATAACTATATAATATGGCATTATATAATATAATGAAAACCATATGAGTCTTATTTTCCTACACAAATGAATGTTGTAGTGGATCATGTTCAACAAGACTTCTTGATCCTTATTATTTTTAAATGGATATCACATATACACAAACATATAAAAGCATTTTTACCCTCTAGAAGCTACGCATCAAACCAGTAAAGATTATATCTCAGTGCCAGGCTATAAAGAACTTATTTTCTTCTATTTATCCAAATTTCCTAGTTTAGCTGTAACAAACATATTTTATTTCTATAGTAAGGAACTATGTTATCAGTTAATAATATTTGTACTTAATGTCTAACATGGGAATACAATAAGAAATCATATAGAGAGGTGTAAATAAAGACAAAGTAAAGCAAAACAACCAGCACAGAGAGAGGGAAAGAGAAACAAAGACACACATACACAGAGGTCTTGAGGAAAAACAACAAAAACAGAAGATGGCTAGAAGAAGGAAAGACTAAAGGGACTTAGCCGGAGATGTCAGAGAGACATACAAACTGGCTGTATGTCCTTTTGCCATCAGTTAAAAGTTTCTAAAATTTTACTTCTAAAATTTTGAAGTCATGGCTGATTTTCCTTTTAGTATTGATGTGTTTAGTTGTTTATATTTTCAAGACAGAATATAGGGCCTTGACTATCATTGTTTCAGATAAAGATGTTACAGACAAATCAATTCTATATTAATTATTTGGAAGTCAATATCTAAACAGTCACATAATATCTAAATCAATCAATACTTTCCATATAACAGCCATGTACTTGAAATTAAAGTGGGGAATATGAAAGTAAATATGAGACCCACAGCAAACTGTCTCCATGGAATACTTACTCAGCATTTTGATCTGGAGAGCTATGAACCGGCTTTCCCACTGTCTAGATCTCCTTTGTTTGGGTAAAGCTGAATGATCTGAATTTAACAATTTAAAATAATTCTCCAAAATTGTACTAGTTTCCACTTGACGCTGGTCAGAGCTGCTTGTGAGAAGTATATGCACCACTTCCGTAAGGCACTTCAGGGTTAGTTCTATCTTCCTACCCACTTCTTCAGGATCTCCATCCTCCCAGGAATCACAATCTGCCAAAACTCGCATAAGAACTTCCATGGTGGCCGGAGAAATTGCTTGCAGAGCATTCCTCTGAAACATTAAACATTTAAATAAAAATGAACCTCAAACCAGAATCAAATATTATTATCTTTGCAACCACAAATGTAAATTTAATAAATCTGTAAACAATTTTCATTTTAACAGATAAACATATTTAAAAACTCAATAGAAACTTTGACAGAAACTGCTAGTGTTTTATACCTATTAAGTCTTCTCTTCTTCACCACCACAGAAAATTCACTTTTGGGGCCAGTGCTGTGGCGTAGCGGGTAAGGCTCCGCCTGCAGTGCCGGCATCCCATATGGGCGCCAGTTCGAGTCCCAGCTGCTCCACTTCCTATCTAGCGCTCTGCTATGGCCTGGGAAAGCAGTAGAAGATGGCCCAAGTCCTTGGGCCCCTGCACATGCATGGGAGAACTGGAAGAAGCTGACTCCTGGCTTCGGATCAGCGCAACTCTAGCATTTACGACCATTTGGGGAGTGAATCAGCAGATGGAAGACCTCTCTCATTCTGCCTCTCCTTCTCTCTCTGTGTAACTCTTTCAAATAAATAAATAAATCTTCAAAAAAAATTCATGTTCTACCTTCCCTGGAAGATATGGATATCTATGTGACCCAGTTCTGGTCAAAATTATCATGGGGAAGGACCCTTGGCCCTTGGCCCTCTCACCTTGTTCAACCTTGAATGTAGACATAATGCCTGGAGTCACCTTTATATCACAAGAAACCCAAGAATTAAAGCAACAAGTTACAGATAGCAGAACAAAATATCAAAGGACCAGTGTTACTGATGTTGTCACTGAGCTGCTGGATTAGCCCAGAACTACCTATATATCTGGATTTCTTAAGTATGCATAAAAACAAAAGAAAAACCAAACACCCTCCCTCAATTTGGTAGTCTCTCTCAGATTTTCTGTTGGTTAAAGCTAATCCGTACCAACTGATTTACACACACACACACATATATATATATACACACACACATAGATGTATATAATGATTTACTTGGCTCTGATTCTATAAACACAAGTAACCTAAGTTACCACAACTGTATGATTAACTGCTCTTTATGGCAAATCATAAATCTGATACATTTGGCTTTATTTTCACTAGCACAAACACTGTCTACTGCTTTACTGACTTATACGTGCCATTTAGTTCTTACAACTAATATGAGATAAGATAGGTAGCTGAGCTGGGGATCACAAACTACAAGTTCCCCATGCCAATCATAAGTCTATTCTATTTGTCCTCTTTCCTGTTATGCCCTGTTTTCATGCCAAACTTTGGAAAAAGTTGTCATGTAACTATGTATATTAAGCTCCATGTGGTATTTTATGGAGGTATGAAATTCCCAGGTGACCCCACTAGGAGGTGCTAGGAGGTGCTTGTCCCTCTTTGTCAGAGACCAAGTCTAAAGGAGGTGCTGAGCTGCTCCCTCTCTACTTCCTTCCTCCTTGCCTTTTCTCCCTCTCCACTCCTCACCTATCCCATGGAGTGTATGTTTGCTTTCTCACCTTTAAAATAAACTTTACCACTTTGGGCACCATATATGTGCCTGTACTTAGAATGCTTCTCTAAGTGGAAGGCAAGAACCTGGAATAAAAAACTAGACCCTACTCCCACTGTTTCACAACCATCCTATAAATGTTACTGTTTCCACATAAAATATAAAGAACTAAAACACATGTAAATAGCTTATAAGGTCACATATCAGGGCCGGCGCCACAGGTCAATAGGCTAATCCTCCGCCTAGCAGCGCCGGCACACCAGGTTCTAGTCCCAGTCGGGGCACCAGATTCTGTCCCAGTTGCCCCTCTTCCAGGCCAGCCCTCTGCTGTGGCCCGGGAGTGCAGTGGAGGATGGCCCAAGTGCTTGGGCCCTGCACCCCATGGGAGACCAGGAAAAGCACCTGGCTCCTGCCTTCAGATCAGCGCGGTGTGCCGGCTGCAGCTCGCCAGCCGTGGCGGCCATTGGAGGGTGAACCAACGGCAAAGGAAGACCTTTCTCTCTGTCTCTTTCTCTCTCTCACTGTCCACTCTGCCTGTAAAAAAATAAAATAAAATAAAATAAATTTAAAAAAAAGGTCACATATCATAACTAGTAAATGAACGGACCTAGTCAGTCCGGCTTCAAATGGTTTGCTCTTAACATAACACAGAACAGAACAGAGTTGTTTTTAGTTTGTTGGTTTGGAGTATGGGTTTGTTTTTGGTTTTTGTTTTTGCTATTCACAGATCTAAAGAGCGAATATGCCAATGGGTTGATGACTTGGGAAAGGAGCCTAGTCACTCAATTTCAATTTTTCTGTTTCTTTGTAACAACATCGTTCTTATTCCTTTGGATATTCAATTATTCTAAATATCCCTGTACTGACAGCATATTCAACAAACAACCTTTGGACTTCAATTTAACTGTAGCTATGCCCTGATCACAATAATCTGAGGTATTTACAATACATAAAATAATAAATTTGGATCCGGGGCCAGTGCTGTGGCGCAGTGGGTTAAAGCCCTGGCCTAAAGCGCCAGCATCCCATATGGACACCAGTTCTAGTCCCCGCTGCTCCTCTTCTGATCCAGCTCTCTGCTATGACCTGGGATAGCAGGAGAAGATGGCCCAACGCCTTGGGCCCTGCACCCGCGAGGAAGACCTGGAAGAAGCTTCTGGCTCCTGGCTTGGGATTGGCATAGTTCCAGCTGCTGCAGCCATCAGGCAAGTAAACCACTGGATGGAAGACCTCTCTCTTTCTGTCTCTACCTCTCTCTGTAACTCTTTCAAATAAATAAAATTAAAAAAAATAAATTTGAGATCTAATATCTTGATTTTCATGTTAACTTTTCATTAAAGTGGTCTCTTTGGACTTGACAAGCCCTAAGTACTAACAAGAACAAGTCTTTTCATATTCAAAAAGAAAATGGGATTCAATCAGCTGTGCTATTATTCAGTAACAATGTCACTTCCATGTTCATTTATGAATACTTATTAATTCTAACAGTAGTAGAGAAATTATGGAAAGGGGAGGATATTGATCCAAAAGAAGGAGATCAGTTCATACAGAAATGTCACCAAGCAAACAAACTCTACAGATTTCTGGTTATTATCCTTTTCACTACAAGGAAACTAATGTCCTACCAGAGTGAAAGGAGAAGGCAACACGAAGTGCAAGGAAATCTAAGAGGGGATTATGGCTGGGAATCAAAACAGGGACAGGATAAATTAAACAAAAGAGAATGACACTTCAGTGGAGCTCTGGAAGCTACAGTAAGAGTAAATATGAATAATTAAGAAAAAATACCCATTGAGTACAAGGGCCATTAGATGAAAATACACAGAAAGCAAACACAGGGAGAAAAGGAGATTTGCACAAGTCCTAACAAAATTCTTAGGATGGTTTTTACAAGATTAAATCCAAGTAAATAAGTCAAAATTGTATACATTAAATAAAAAAGTGATCATCTAAATATATAAAGTTATTTGTTTATAATGTTTCTCTGAAAAGTGAAAACTGCATTTTCTGACATCTCCAAGTAGAACAGGAAATGACAAATAAATTACCAAATAAATAGTAACTGCCTATTGCTATAAAATTTCCTATTAATACAAGATAACACAAATAAATGTCTAAACATTCATTTGAACCTCCATGGCACCTTCCTGAATGTAGACAAGGATATTCTCCTAATGCCCAAAATGATAATGCCTAGTATACTATTGGTATCATTTTTCAATCTTTAAATAAAATTATAACTTTTAAAATTTATTATTTGAGAGGCAGACAGAATTCCCATTTGCCAGTTTGTTCCCCAAATGCCCACAGGGCTAAGACTGGGTTAGTGCAAAACCCAAGAACTAGGAAAGCAACTCTATCTCCTACATGGGCGGCAGGAATTAAACTCTTTCAGCCATCACAACTGCTACCCATGGTCTACATTAGCAGGAAACAAAGTTAGGATTGAGAGCTGGATATCAAATCCAGATACTCCAATGTGAGATGTGGTGTCTAAAGCACTAGGCTAAATACTCATCCTAAAATTATAAGTTAAGCATTTTATGTGTTGTAACAATATAAAGAACACAGGACACTGATGCTAGTAAGAGAATGTTTCACATGAAAGAGAAAAGTAAGAGCTTAAAAAAAGGAAATAAAAAAGGAAGGAGAGAAGAGGAGAAAAGGGAGAATTCGGGAGAAATTCAAACTTGGATGGAAAACAACTATTTCTGTTCATCTCTAGGGCAAATTTAGTATCAACACCCAATTTAAATGCAAGCAACAAAGAATAGCTGTATAAGTAATAGTTATGATTTTATCATCAATAAAAATAATATATATTTTATTTCTTTTTCTTTTTTAAAAAAGATTTACTTATTGATTTGAAAATCAGAGTTATAGTTATAGAGAGGGAGAGGGGCAGGCAAAGAGATCTTCCATCTTCTGATTCATTCTCCAAAGGGTTATCATGCCCAGGTCTGGGCCAGGCAGAAGCCAAGAGCCAGGAACTTTCTTCCAATCACTCATGTAGGTGCAAGAGCCCAAGGACTTGTACCTTCATCCGCTGCCTTCCCAGGTGTATTAGCAAGGAGCTAGATTGCATAGTATGTCAAAGTATCCTTTATGATCATTACTTACTAAAATTATATTGTTACTAAACTTGCTGTTCTTTTCATGTAATGAGTTATAAAGATGCAAACATGGGGTAGATCTTCATTTGGCCCAGCCATTAAGAAATCACTTGTGGGGGTCAGCGCTGTGGCATAGTGGGCTAAGCCTCTGCCTGTGACACTGTCATCCCACATGGGCTCTGGTTCTTGTCCTGGCTGCTCTTCTGATCTAGCTCTCTGCTACGGCCTGTGAAAGCAGCAGAAGATGGCCCAAGTACTTGGGCCCTGGCACCTGTGTAGGAGACACGGAAGAAGCTCCTGGTTCCTGGCTTCAGATTGGTTCAGTTCCAGCCATTACGGCCATTAGAGGAGTGAACCAGCAGATGGAAGACTTTTCTCTCTCTGTCTCTCCTTCTCTCTGTCTATAACTCTATCTCTCAAATAAATAAAACCTTTCATAAAAAAAAAAGTTAAAAAAAAAAACAACTTGAGATATTTGCATCTCATATCACAGTACCTGTGTCCAAATCCCAGCTCCATTTCCAATTCCAGCTTCCTGCTAATGTGCACCCTGGAAAGAAACAGGTGATGGCCCAAGTACTCGGGTGCCTATCACCTACATGGGAGACCCAGATTAAGCTCCTCACTCATGGTTTCAGTCTGGCCTAGCCCTGGCTATTAAAGGCATTTGGGGAGTGAAACAGTAAATGAAAGTTCTCTCTGTGACTGTGTCTTTGTCTTTCAAGTAAATAAAAAATACAAACAACTTTTTAAAAAAGGTTTCAAGGGCAAGAGCTGTGGCGTAGCAGGCCACAGCTACGTGCCCTCTACTTCGTGCAGTGCCAACATCCCACATGGGCACAGGTTCAAGTCCTGGCTGTTCCATTTCCAATCCCATTCCCTGCCGATGTGCCTGGGAAAACAGCAGATGCTCCCACACAGAAGACCCAGATGAAGCACCTGGCTCCTGGCTTCAGCCTGGCCCAGCCTTGGTTGATGCAGCCATGTGGGCAGTGAACCAGCAGATGGAGGATCTCTCTGTCTCGTTCTCTAACTCTGTCTTTCAAATAAATAAGAGGGGGATCTGTGCTATGGTGTAGCAGGTTAAAGCCCCAGCCTGCAGCACTGGCATCCCATATGGGCTCTGGTTCGAGACCAAGCTGCTCCTCTTGCTATCCATCTCTCTGCTATGGCCTGGAAAGCAGTAGAAGATGGCCCAAGTCCTTGGGCCCCTGCACCCATGTGGGAGACCCAGAAGAAGCTCCTGGCTCCTGGCTTCGGATCGGCGCAGCTCTGGCCGTTGAGGCCATCTGGGGAGTAAACCAGCGGATGGAAGACCTCTCTCTGTCTCTACCTCTCTCTGTAATTCTGTCTTTCAAATAAATAAAATAAATCTTCATAATAATAAAAAAAAAGCAAAAAGGGTTAGGAATCTCTGATCTAAATTGTACAGTTAAGAAAACATGTAGAAATTCTTTTTGGAGGCCGACACTGTGGTGTAGTGGGTGAAGCCACTGCCTGCGACACCAGCATCCCATAAGAGTGCCAGTTCATGTCCCAGCTGCTCCACTTCCAATCCAGCTCAGCTATTGCCTGGGAAAGCAGTAGAAGATGGCCCAAGTCCTTGGACCCCTGTATCCGCATGGGAGACTCGGAAGAAGCTCCTGACTCCTGGCTTTCAGACTGGCACAGCTCTAGTCGTTGAGGCCAATTGGAGAGTGAAACAGCAGATGGAAGACCACCCCCACCCAACTCTCTGTAACTCCGTCTTTCAAATAATTAAATAAATCTTTAAAAAAAAAAAAAGAAAGAAATTCTTTTTGAGTTACAGTCCTATTGTAGTTACACTTGTAGTTAGAACTGGTAGTTAGAACTTGTACTTACTCTCAGTTTACTACAGACAGCTTGTAAGATGCTCAACTTAAAACATATGTTTTCTTGCAAAGAAAACACTACTTAGGTTTGTTGAAAAATGCATACATGTGATACATGCATACTGTGATACATGGATTTCATAATAATAAGTAGGTATCAGAATAACAGAATTCATAGTCATTTGGGGATTAAACTATTAGAGCTTGATTTTATCAACTGGGTAGTAGGGTTGACTTTCTCTATACTCTAAAAATTAGTAGCTCAAAGTCAATATAAATAAAAACTTACAATACCAAAAAAAGTTAATATGGTTATTTATCTAACAATTTTATTATAGGTGCAAATGCTATTAATTAGGATTTTTCAAAGATAATAAAAGAAGAACTAACTAAGTAGTTTAGTTTGAACAACATATAAACATAACTTTATGGTTCATCAAATTATAAAAAGACAAAAAATATATTACGTAAGCCATGGAAAGCTGTCCATACTGTTAAATGTTATTTTATATATAAACTTTCAATATTTTCCTCACCTGCCCACCGGCTACAATGGCTCCAAATAGGTGTAATAAGCAACACTTAAGACTTTCCTTGAGATGTTCACTTTCCTGAAAACATTCTGTGAATATAATACACAAATAAACAAAAATAAGAATTCTCTTTTATAAGATGTTTTACCTCTAAAAAATTTCTAATATAGAAATACGAAGAACTAGTTGAGGAAAGCCTAAAATGTTTTAAAAAGAAAAGCTGATATGCATTTTGTCACAGGAAGGAAAAGAGAGACCAACTATCAGGTAGCATTTTAAGTATCTTATGTTATCACATTTAATTCTCATAATACTTCATATAAGAATGATAATTTCCCCTACTTATAAATGTACATACAGAAGTTCTAAAGTTAATACCTTGTCTGAGGAGGTCACATGATTATCAAGTGACAGAGCTAACAATTAACACAAACCTAACATAACTGTATTTTCTCACTAGTACTATGATGAACACCACCACCACCACCTTTACTGTCTGCATTCGAATAACTACCTATAGTTAGCCAATTATGAAATGAAATAATTAAGCAAAAAGATTTCCTAAGTCCATTGCAGGGCAAGAATTCCAAAATTCTAGAACCAACTACAGTAATCTTTTTCTTAACATTATAAATTATTTTATTCTTTTTAAAAAGTTATTCATGCATATGACAAAGAAAACTAAAACGACATAAAAGAGCTGACAAGGGAAAGCAAGTCTTTCCCTTACCTATTCCTTAATCCATCACACTACATCTACCTTAAAAAAAATCTATGCAATGTGCAGGCATCCCATGGTATCCATAGATGACTGGTGCCAGGTGTCTTTCCCACCCAGACAGAAACCATTATCTCATGTATGCTCAAGGTCTTCCATAAAATGGTTTAGTATTTGCAGAGAACCTTCTGTATATCCCCTCATATACTTTAAATCATCTCTGAATTACTTGTAAAAGCAAACACAAAGTAAGTTTATTGCAAATAGCTGCTGTTCTATATTATTCAGGAAACATAACCAAAAACAAAACAAGCTGTACATATTCAGAACTAATACAATTTTTTAAATGTTTCTACATCTGTGGCTGGTTTATTCTGTCGATATGGAATCCACAGATGAGGAGGCCAGGCAATATTCCTGCATCACTGTTTTTGTTTTCTACTTCAATGTATTCTGTACATAATTGTATCTTTTTAAAAAATTTTATTTATTTATTCAACAGGTAAAGTTACAGACAGTGAAAGGGAGAGACAGAGAGAAAGGTCTTCCATCCACTGGTTCACTCCCCAAAGGGCTGCAATGAGTGGAGCTGGGCCAGTCCAAAGCCAGGAGCCAAGAGCCTCCTCTGGGCCTCCACACAGACAGCTGGATCAGAAGAGGAGCAACTAGGACTAGAACCGGTGCCCATACTGAATGTGGCGCCAGAGGCGGAGGATTAACCTACAGCACTAGCCTCCATAATTATATTTTAAGAGATAACATCTGGGGAGCCGCACTGTGATGTAGCAGGTAAAGCCCTGCCTGCAGTGCCAGTATCCCATACGGGCACTGGTTTGAGTCCTGGCTGCTCCACTTCCAATCCAGCTCTCTGCTTTGGCCTGGGAAAGCAGAAGAACATAGTCCAAGCCTGTTAATGCACCTGGAAAAGCAGCGGAAGATGGCTCAAGTCCTTGGGACTCTGTACCCACATGGGAGACCCAGAAGAAGTTCCTGACTTCTGGTTTCAGAATGGCTCAGCTCTGGCCATTGTGGCCATTTGGGGAATGAATCAGCAGATGGAAGACCTCTCTCTCTCTCTCTCTGTCTCTACCTCTCTCTGTAACTATTTCAAATACATAAAATAAATCTTTTTTAAAAAAAAAGACATATGAGATAAACACTGATCATAAGACTGCTTGGGTGGCCATGCTAGTATCTGATAAAGTAAGCAGAGTATTATCAAGGCAAGGCAGGGAATATTACCATGAATAGAGAGGAAAATGTGATTGTTGAAACTAGGACATGAAAATAAGACTCAATAAAAAATTAAATTGATTAAACTTATTCAGAGTATGTTCTCTCATCATATTAGAATTACATTAGAAAGTAATGAGGGCCGGCGCTGCGGCTCACTAGGCTAATCCTCCACCTGCGGCACCGGCACCCCGGGTTCTAGTCCCAGTTGGGGCGCTGAATTCTAGTCCTGGTTGCTCCTCTTCCAGTCCAGCTCTCTGCTGTGGCCCGGTAGGGCAGTGGAGGATGGCCAAGTGCTTGGGCCCTGCGCCCTCATGGGAGACTGGGAGGAAGCACCCAGCTCCTGGCTTCGGATCAGCACACAGCGCCAGCTGTGGTGGCTATTAGGCGAGTGAACCAACGGAAGGAAGATCTTTCTCTCTGTTTCTCTCTCACTGTCTATAACTCACTCTCTCTGTCTAACTCTGCCTGTCAAAAAAAAAAAAAAGGCAAGCAAGCAAGCAATGAAAGGGGTCAGCACAGTGGCACAGCGGGTAAAGCCGCCACCTGCAGTGCTGGCACTGTACAACAATCCCTTGAACTTATTCTTGTCTGACGGAAATTTTTATGAAGATTTTATTTATTTAATTGAGAGGCAGAGTTACAGACAGAGAGAGAGAGACAGAGAAAGGTTCTTCAATCTGCTAGTTCGCTCTCCAAATGGCCGCAATGGCAGGAGCTGGACAGCCCAAAGCAAGGAGCCAGGAGCTTCTTTAGGGTCTCCCTTGTGGGTGCAGGGGCCCAAGCACATGGGCCACCTTCCACTGCTTTTCCCAAGCCACAGCAGACAGCTGGATTGGAAAGAGAGCAGCAGGAACATGAACCAGTGCCCATATGGGCTGCTGGCACCTCAGGCAAAAGCTTAGCCTACTGCACCATAACTGAAAGTTTGTATCCATTGGATAATATCTCCCCAGAACCCTCACACGTTCCCTAATAACCATGATGTCAAACAAGAAAGGAAGGGGCTGGCACTGCGGCTTACTTAGCTATTCCCCCATCCTCCGCCTGTGGCGCCGGCACCCCGGGTTCTAGTCCCTGTCGGGGTGCCAGATTCTGTCCCGGCTGCTCCTCTTTCAGTCCAGCTCTCTGCTGTGGCCCTAGAAGGCAGTGGAGGATGGCCCAAGTGCTTGGGCCCTGCACCCACATGGGAGACTAGGAGGAAGCACCTGGCTCCTGGCTTCGGATTGGCGGAGTGCGCCAACCTCAGTGGCCATTTGGGGGGTGAACCAATGGAAAAGGAAGACCTTTCTCTTGTCTCTCTCCGTCTAATTCTACCTTTAAAAAAAAAAAAAAAAAGATGGAAGGAAGGGAAGGAGGGAGGGATAGAGGGAGGAGAAATATTTTAAATCGATGAAAAGAAAAAAGTATATCAAAATCGGAGAGACATGGCTAAGGTAACACTTCATGAAAAATGTATAGCCTGAAACATTCATAATAGAAAAGAAAGCCTAAAAAAAGAAGGCATAATTAAAGATTAATGCTTCTACCCTACAAAGCAAGAAAAAGAAGAAAATTAAGAGCAAGGGAAATAAACAATAAAGAAAAATCTATGAAATGAAAACTTAGTTCATAGAAAAAAGCAATATAACTTTAAAAACCTCTAGCTAAACTGATCAAGAAAAAAATGAGAGAAAATATAAATTACCAGTATCAGAGGTAAAAAGGAGGATATCAAGTCAGATCCCACAGACTACAAAAAGACAATAAAAATTATTTTTAAAAAGTCTTTACAGCAATAAATTCAACAACATGGATGAAAAATAAATTATTTAAAAGATAGAAATTACAAAACTAACACAAGAATAAATAGGAGATCTGAATGGCACTTTATCTAGTAAAAAACAACTGACTCCATAATCTACAAGCTTCTCACAAAGTAAACTCCAGGCCTAAATGGCTTTGCTAGAGAATATTAAAAGCATCATAATAGCAATCCCAAGTCAACTCTCCAGAAAATGGAACACTTAACAACTCATTTAATAAGATCACCATTATTGTTTAAGCCAACCAAATATGGCTTTTTGTTATGCCAGTCCGGGCCAAATGAAGATAGATTTTGGTAGCAAGAAATGCAGTAGTGCTGTGACAAATACATGAAAATGGGGAGGCAACCTTCAAACCAAATCAAAGATAGATGCTGGAACAGTTTTGAGGTGCATGCTAGCAATATGGACCTGCCAGTAATTCTGGTGAGTTCTCAGACGGAACCAACGTGTCTTTGAAAACAGTAAGATAATCTTAGTCAGAAAGTGGCAAAGAACTTGGTTAAAGTGTGTCAAGGTAGAACTGGTAAGTACTGAAATTGAATCTACCTGAGGCAATTTCGAGGTCAAGTGTTGAAGGAACATTTACATTTCTCCTGACTATGTATAGTAAAATGTGAAAGGAAAGTAAACTGAATGAATTTATCCAAAAAAGGACCAGAACTTGAAGATTCTGACAGCTTTCAACCTATCCATACGGTAATAAATGACAAAGCCTGTACTGAAGAAAAACACCAAGAGTGTGGCTAGACAACCATTTGATAAAGAGACCTTTTGTATGACTCACGGCCTATCTGCTATCTAGAACAGAGGCCAGGAACAGAGATGGGATTATATTAGCAAAGACACTACCATTTTGAACTAAAGGAACAGGGAAAAGTAGGAAAGGCATGAAGGTAGACTGTTGAACTTCTTGGATTCTACAGGACCAGACCACAGAGCTATTCAGTTGTGAACAGGTGCTACCCTTCAAGAAAAGGGAAGAATGCCTTTGACAGGCAGCTCAGCCCAGAGATCATGAGGGCATTTATTTCTTCCTTCGCTTCCTTCCCTTCCTTCCCTCCCTCCCTCCCTCCCTTCCTTCCTTCCTTTCTCTTTCTTTTTTTGACAGGCAGAGTTAGACAGTGAATGAGAGAGACAGAGAAAAAGGTCTTCCTTTTTTCTGTTCATTCACCCCCCAAATGGCTGCCACAGCCAGTGCACTGCGCCAATCCGAAGCCAGGAGCCAGGTACTTCTCTTGGTCTCCCATGCGGGTGCAGGGCCCAAGCACTTGGGCCATCTTCCACTCCCTTCCCAGGCCACAGCAGAGAGCTGGACTGGAAGAGGGGCAAC